ATTAATATACCATACTTCAAAGTAGTCTCAGGGGTGGCCAAAGTAGTCCCAGGGGTGAGAGGAGCACTTGGGCTGTAAATTCTATACAGAGAGAGTGGCTCCAACAGATCCCTGGAACAACATCAGAGCTCTCTGTCCAGAAGAGTGCAGTGCTAGGAACAGCCAAGATCCTGCACAGAATCCTCACCCTATAAGGGTGAGCAGGGTATGAAAGTGGGAATGTATGTACTGTATGTATGTTTTTATGTATGTATATAAAATCTCCCTTGGAAATAAAAAGGGATGAAACTGTAATTTTTAATTTAAAATTTGATAAAGACAATTTAAAAATGCAAAGTAAACAATATTTGTTTTCTATATAACTCATCATAACTGAAACCATACCGCCAAACAATCATATCCTGTTTGGGCCATAATGACATCAGAAATCCATGTTTATCATTTGCTTTGGACAACTTAGCATGTTTTTGGCCCAGGGCAAAGTGGAAATAAAACCATTTGCAGCTGGCCAAACCAAGATAACCACACATTTCTGAAGTAATTGATACCTAAAGGAACATAGCCTTTAGATCACAGTTCATGATTTAAGTACACTAATTCTTTAAAGGAGGTTGTTAAAGATTTTAAAGAACACACTGGACTTACTCCAAGATTTAACATGCAGAAACTATACTAAACATGGCAAATAAGATATTCTATACTTCTTTATGCACTAATTACCACTTTTTTAAGGGAATGGAATATATTTCCTGCATTGTTTTAAATGTCCACAGTATTTTTAGAGTCTAGGCCAAAACATTTTAAAGTGTACAAAATAATAAAATATCTCATTGTCCATGCAATCCTTGAGAAAATGGAATGCAGTTTTTCCATTTTCTAGTCAATTTTAAGATTCCAAATTTAACAAAACAACTTTATTTTATTTTTGCTTCTCTCACTTTTAAGAGTTTATACCATATTGTTTAGTGGAATTCCTTTGTCCTTCTCTTTTTAATTTAATTATAGTTTAGAATTATATCTGTACCGTGGTCAAATGTGTTAAGATTGGATTTGTGAATTTTAGCCAGGAAGAAACCCATTATTAAAATTATTATTAGCATACTTTGGTTCTTAACCATAAAGTTGAAGCAATCTAAAATTAGCATAACTGACAGCCCAGTTAATAACCTCAATGTATATCATATCATGACTTTTGAGATAAGAGAGTGGCAAATTTGTAATAAAAAGGAAAGAAAAGAAGGAATATGTCAGCTCACAGCAGTTTATGGTTTCTTAATTGTGACTATAGATAGTCTTTGTTTACTGACCACTTGCTCAGCGACTATTCAAAATTACGAAGGCACTGAATACTCAAAGTTCAAACTCAATATTCCAGCCATTGCAGCATTCTCAGAATCTTGATTTGGGTACTTGGCAATTGACCTTTATTGACAACTATTGAACTATCCTGTGATCAAATAAAGGGAGGGAGGGAGGGAAGAAGAGAAGGAAGGAAGGAAGGGCAATTTCTGATGTTCTCTGCCAGCTTCCCACAAGGAAACTCAATGGAGAAGCCAGCAGGAAGTTGCAAGTCACTCGCATTCCCAGTGCATTTTTATTCATCCATAGTCATTCTGTTTCTCTGTTTAGGAAATATCTCTCAAAAGTTGACCAATAGGCACCCGTTGCTTATTACCTCAACAGAAATACCATACTGAGACAGTTTCAAATGTTCTCTCAGGTACTTTAAATCTCATTAATTAGATATAGCAAGTATCAAGCTACTATTACACCTTTTACTATATATGGTTAGAATTATTACTGTGTAATATGTCTAACAAACAAAGAAGCAGAGATAGAAACAAGTAACTAATATGTGTAGAATGTGTATATGTCCACACAGAACATCCAAATTTCTGTTAAAAATTTAAGAGGAAAACTGAATGCAAATATGTCAATAAGAATGAACAAAGCTGCCTATATTGTGACTCTTGAGGTTACAAAAGAAAAAAGTAGGGAGGAAAAATTATGCTGTGAAGATTTTAACTAGTACTTCCCAGAATCCAGAGAAAGATTTGGCACCCATACAAATTAGCCTAGAGGGCAGGAAAGCTATATAAATTTAGATATCATTGTGTTGAACATATGGCTAGCTTGATAGAAACTTTTGCTTTGCAGATGTTGCCATTCATCTTCATCAGAACAACACATAAAGTCTCAAAGTGAGGGTTGCCTTTGTCAAAAATTCAAATATAACATTGGAACTGAAAACTACTATCTTATGATTCTTAGAAAGTAATTGTGCATTTGTACTCAGTTCAACTGGACTCCTAGGTATCTATGTTTGGGATAAGAGTCTTATTTGCTCTTTGAAAAGAGCAATGTTGTTATGAAAATGAATTCTTTGGAATAACTCATATCAGTTCATCACAATATAGTATCTCTTTATCCTTTCAGCTGCTACTACAGATGCAACATAGTTACCAGTAGGTCATCCAGTCAATCACTCAGATATATTTACTAAAAAGATTAGTCATCAAAAACAACATATTTTAACACAGATGATCCTCATATTCCCAATCTATATTAAACATTTATTTTCTATTTGTTGTGCATTAAACATTTTTCTCTTTTGTTTAGATGAGAAACATTCTTAAAATATTTTACAAAAATCCTAGTTTTAGAATTGTACCAGTGGTGGGATTCAGCCGGTTCTCTCTTGATCGCGCGAACTGGTAGCAGTGACTGCGGGAGGCTTCGCCCACCCACCTGGATGTAATGCATGACTATGCGCACACGGTCACATTTGTGAATCAGTAGGGAAGGTTAAGTGAATCCCACCTCTAAATTGTACAGATTAACAATAAAAAATGGACCTGATTTCATATCTCTATACTATCAGGGTTCCAAATAACAGACCCAAAGCAATCAAAACTCTGAGGCCTAGGGTTTCCTCAAGCCATTTCTGGGAGCATCTTCAAGGCTGCCATCTATAGTACATCAAAATTTATGGCAACAGTTTACATGAACATATAGATGAAGTCCAAAACATTCAAGAAATAATTTGGAAGGCCAAAATTAAAATTAAAACAAAAAATGCTTAATTTAAAGATAATTTTAAATTAAGATAGCTAACTTATTCCAATTTTATTTTGAACATGCTGCACTGCAGCCGAAATAGCAACTTTCAGAGATTATAAATCAGACAATCATTGTTTCTAAACATTTCACATATCTTAGCCTAATTTTTTAAGTGTTTTTAAGTGTTTTGTTTATTGTTTTTAATTAATGGGGCCAAATTTATATATATATATATTAACTGTATTTTAATATTTGTACTTGATGTTTTTACTTGGCTGTTCACTGCCCTGAGTCCTCAGGGAGAAGGGCGGTATACAAATTCAAAATAAAATAAAATAAAAATAAAAATATATGTATAGCTACATTGAAAATGTAGTTCCTATAGCCTTTTTTTTTTTTTGGCAGCCTTGAATATACCATATCCATATAATTTCAGTTAACCTACAAGCAAGGGATCATGAAAAATAATCTCAAATATCGTAACAGAAATAGTGCCATATAGTACATTTACAAAAATAGAAGACATTGTATATGTCATATTCAAATGCCAGTTATAAGCCCCAGCAAGGGCCTTTTATTTAGAACTTTCAGTGCTGGTCCATGAACGCAATAAAGATTGATTAGAACCTTGTATTTAGAACTTATGTATAGAACAACCTATTGGAACTGCAACAACCAATTGTTTTACTTCCTTTTCTTATATTAAAGCTGTTCAGCTGAGGTTTGTTACATAGGAAAAATTGGAATCATGTGCAGATGTTATGTCCTTATCTGTATAATAGGATAACAGAGTTGGAAGGGACCTTGGAAATCTTCCAGAAGAAAGGTCCCCAACCCCTGGGTTGCAGACTGGCACCGTTCTGTGGGCTGCCAGGAACTGGGCCATGTAAGCAAGTGAAGCTCCATCCAGACACGAATGGGATCCAGGCAGCATGTGAAACCACGCCCTCCCAGTACACGGAAAAACTGCCCTCCATGGAGCCAGTCCCTGGCACCCAAAAGGTTGGGGGCTGCTGTTCCAGAATATACTTCTGAATATATATTATATACATTGCTCTGTAATTTGGTATACTTATTTATTTATTTAAAAAACTTATAACTATTTTATCCTGTTGTTAGTTGATGCTGTGATATATCTTGACATGGTCAATTAAATAATCAGTAAATTAATTAACAACAAAATGCTAGTCTTGTACTGATCTTAAAAGTGAAGATATGGCATTTGTATGAAGCCTTTCCAATTCAGATGGAAGGATGTTTATTTAGTATTTATATGGGAGAAACTTCAGTAATGCTGGCTGTATACCATGTAACAAACTGTCTCCTGTCTTCTTTGCCTTATTCCGCTAATCCTGACAAGATGGTAGTACTTGTCACACTTCCTGGCTCTCCTCTCCTTTTCTCACCCTCTCTGCTCTACTTGAGTCAGCACTACCCTTCAGTCTTGTAGTTTTCTCCTTGCTAGTTTTGGTCTGCCTTCTTAAAAGTAGACAGATTAGTAACTAACAGTTATTTACTTACAACAGAATAATTTTTTCTAAGTTTTAATAGAGTTTTTTGCTTCATATTTATTTATCTGATTTGTCCTAAAAGTAGCCTCATAAAATTTAAAATATAAAAATTGAAAATGATGAAAACAAGGGAAGGAATTCCAAAATACTGATGGAAATCTTTTATAAGTGAATCCTACAAAATAATATATTTGGGACTTGGAATCTATGTTTATTGTTTTGCCCGGCCAAAGAATTTTCACATTGATCTCACATTTACTGTGTGTTAAGGAGGTCAGTATTACATATGGATAAATGCTCTGCATGAAGAATTCTCCTGTAAAGCAAGGAATTGGACTAAATGAATTTAATTTAATTTATTTTAATGTAATCTAATTTTGTAAAGTAAATAGTTTTGGTACTTTGTTTAGAAAAAAGGGTAGAATTTACCTCCATTCTCTCTTGCTTTACATCATCTATCTCATCATCTTCAAACAAGGCCAAGAGCTCCCCAGTCTGATCAATAGAAATAAGAAAGTCTTGAGCAGTTTTCTGACGTTTGTTAGTGCTGCTACTGAATTTGTCTGAAAGAGACCAGAGAAGGAAAATAGACAGCTGTTTTGATACAAAAAAAGGGATTCCATGAAAGCTTCTAAACAAGTGCTGAAATCGAGTTAGCTGAATGAAGACCGTTTTAATTTAATTCTCCCTGCAACTATATACACCATGACTCTTGAACACTTATATCAGAAAGCTGAGGAGTATCACTGAACTTTGGACTTTTTAATATACTGAAGACACTCTGATAAGGATGAAACTAAGGGTCCTTGAAAAAACAATCACTTCTATATGTTCATTTCAGTCAGAAAGTATGGTCATGATCTTACTTCTGCCTGATTTCTCCATCTTACCTGCACTGCTTTGACTGCACATTCTTGATTTTTTAAAAAACTAGATCTGAAATCAGTGAAAGAAGAGGGAGAAATCAACATAAGTGAGTCCTATCAATCTCATTTCCACTCACAGTAAATCAGTGTGGTATTCATAGGATACGATTGCTAGTGGAAGGCCACAGTGAGTGCAACCTCAAATATGTTACGTTTGGAAATGTTCGCTCTTTCTCTTAATTACCCATTCAATGTATCCAGTAAGCCTATATCCTATAACCTTTTCAATTACCAGATGCTTTTTGGTTGTTTGCTTTGCTTTCTTCCTCTCTTCCAATTATCAATATAAGATCATTGTCTCATATTGTCCTCTTGCAAATCCATTTGCATTCACACTAAACACTTAGATTTTAAATAGATCCCAGATATCTGAAAATCCCCTAGAAGTAAATTTTAGGGGAAATGCAATCAAATTACAATGATTACATATCTAGTAACTAATTAAAATGAAAAAAAAATAGTATTTACCAAACATTCATCTTAATTTTAGATCAGTATTAAAGGATGGTTCTGACAAGCTTTTTCTAATAAATTAATTAAATTATAGTTCAAATTAATTTGAAAATGTAAACTGTAAAATTAAAAAGACTGTTAATCAGCACCCAGTGCCTTAGCTAAACTTAATTGTTGATATTAATAGTTCTGGTTATCAAATGGTTGATGGACTAACATTCTGAACTTTTATAAATAATTGGAATGGAAAAGCACTGGCTTAAATGAAATTTCCCACCAAGTACTATTTTTGCATGTCTAAAGCTAGCTAGAAGAGGAATATATTTCCATTTGGCACTTTAGAGATAGAGCACATGTTGAATATTCCCCATAAAAAGACAAGTTTTCTGGAACCTTCATACCTTCAAGAAGATCATCTTCATCAATGCCTTTGACAACTTTAGATTTGTAATCTCGGAAAAACATGTATTTAAGTAATCTTCGAAGTTTTTTCTAGTTAAGAAAAAAATGGACATAGACACGGCCTGCTAATATTAAAAATTCAAGGAGAAATTTGAAGCATTGTAACCGCAATCTTAGATTATATATCTACATTTATATCCACAGATTAACAATACTTATTCTAACAGAACCAAATGCAAAACTCAATTTGATGTTGAAATTCCAAACATAAGTCTGACAATGCATATCAAATCAAGTGTTCCTTTGTGCAGATATATTTCAACACTAATTTTTCTTGTGTTCATTATACTTTTCAGTCATGTAAATCTTACTTTGCCAGTTCAATAAGCAGACCAGAAAAATAAAGGAAGTTTGAATCTAAATTCCTTTTTGTTTTACTTCAGTGTGTGAATAAAAGTTTATGAGAATAGCATGCTGTAGTCAAGCACCTTTATTTTCATTTTTTAAATTTAGTGATAGTTGAATTTATCTCAGAACAAGACAAGCACTCGTAGGGTGCTTTCAGGTAGCTAGCTGTTTAGTATCATTAGTTTATTAATCATTTTATGTTCCCCTCCCACCTTTACATTTTTGCACATTGGTTAAAACTACTCTTATTTCTCTATAGGTTTGAGTTATCTCCTTATAGAAGACAATTTCAAATCAGCATGCTTCAGGACCATCTCACAAAAATTCTAGTATCTTGGTTTCTCCTGGGAAGTGCTTCTAATGACAGGGTATGAGTGTGCATTTAGTGTATTAAATATCTGGAAATCCAGCAAGATTGGGCTGCTCTTCCCAAGAATGTTTTTTGAGCAGTCAAACTCCCCCTTTTAAAGCAGAAAAATATTTACACCAAATAACTGTTCCCCAAATCCGAAGGACATTAACCTTAGTGCACTGCAATGCACTTCCCACAGTAGTTTTGATACTGAAAAAATACCATATGAGCTGAGACTGTGCCTCTATGGACAAGGGGCCATTGAAACTATAGCTCACATTCTCCTGTACTGCATCTTCTATAAGGACCCACAGACTCAATTTATAATACCTCACCTAATAAATTATCCAAGAAATACTTATCTTTTTTTACATGCAACTACATTTATCAGATCACTATGGAGTAGTTTCTCTGAATGTGGCCAAATTTTGCTAATTTTTTGCTAATTTTGTATGTAAAATTAGGCAAACTTTAACTACTCACTGTTATTCCACCGCCAATCACAATATATTGTTCTGTCTGTCTTTTATATTTATATTTTTTTATTATTATTATTATTATCATCATCATCATTATTATTATTATTATTATTATTATTATTATTATTATTATTATTAACTTTTATTCATTAAACATGAAACTCAAGTCAACTGAACATTCAATAAATGTAATATTATTGACTGGCGCTGATGGTTGATACGGGTTGCTGCCAGCATCCTAGGTATTGACCAAGCACCTTCTTAAGATGTACAATTATTATTATTATTATTATTATTATTATTATTATTATTATTATTATTATCTTTTATTCACCAAACATGAAACTCAATCAACTGAACATTCAAAAATGCATCACAAATACCATTGACTGGTGCTAACGGTTGATACGGGTTGCTGCCAGCGTCCTAGGTATCAACCAAGTACCTTCTTAAGATGTACAATGTTCCGAGTAGAGCAGTTTTTTGCGCAGTTCCGCTGGTATTATTGCAGGAAGCTGCAATTTCTTGATGTATTTTATAAAAATCTTGGACATGGTACCAAGTGCCCCGATGACAATGGGTATTACTGTTACATGTTTCATCTATAATTGCATAGTTTCGATGGCCAGATTGCAATATTTTGTGATTTTTTTCAGTTCTTTTTCTTCAACTCTAGCATCTCCTGGTACCGCGATATCAATAAATTGTATGTTGATTTTCGACAACAGTGATATCTGGCATGTTGTTTCAAATAATGATCCGTCTGTATTCGAAAGTCCTACAAGATCTTCACATTCTCATTTTTGATAAATTATTATTAATTATTTTTATTTATTATTATTGTTGTTGTTGTTGTTGTGCTTTTATTTCCTGGTCTGTCAATAATCAAGGGGACAAATGACACCCAGGGAACATTTCTTTCCCCTGATTTTGCATGTATTTTGGTGACAGATCTTACAGACAATTTCCCTTTAAAACTTTGATTATAATGGTCTTGTATTTGCCTTAATAAACTCAGCTTCAATCATTTTAAACTAATTGAGTTGGAGTGGAGCAAGAGGGAGGGAGAGAGAAAGAGCATAAAGCAGTATTGAGGGTTTTTCCTATCCACATTTATACTGATCTGGCATCAGAGTTGTGTTGCTATGTTCCCACAAAATCAACCTGTTTGGAAAGTTGACATTATTTTCATACAATTATAGAATCAAAGTGAGCTTAGCATCATCTAGTCCAATTCCCTATTCAGTGCATAATCCACTTCAGTATTTCTGATGGATGACCATCCTAATCTCATTCTGGAGACCTCCAGTAAAGGAGAACATGTGAATGTTCCAGGTGATACAGTCAGTTTCTCCTGTTTACTAGTCTAGCCGCAATATAACTCAAATGGAAAAAATTCCATTTGCAAAACCTGAAGCATATGCGCCTGAGGTGGTGCTGGGATGGCTGCTTTTCCATGAAGGAAACTTTTGACTCATTCTGTCTCCCATTGGCTGAACTCAGGGTTCTCTAGAAGTTTCACGGGAAATCCTATCAGTGAGGTTGATCGTATTTTTTCTACAGTAGTCAATTTCTGAACAGTTTGACAATCCTTCTAAAATCCTGCACCAAATTCTTGACATATCCCACTTCCCATTCTCTGGACTAAAATCATTACTCTGCTCCCTTCTATACACAGACACAGAAAAATACTTAGAACCATAATTTCAGTTACTGAGAAAAAAGGTTTAGCCATAAAAGTTTGTTGTTATACCCATTATTACAGTTTTCAGTGCGAATTTTGAAAGTTAAGCAGTTTTTATTTTTTTACCAATATCTTTTTAAGATTTTTCAACTCCACTTGCAATTAATTCTTCCTTCTAAAGTAGGATAAATGATATTGCAAAACACTATTACAAACAGTTGAGCATATATTACAAATATTGGGTAGGATATTTTTTTTTTCCTTTTCAGCATAGAGAGTAGGAGAAGGGGACTTTTGATATTGGAGGAGCTACTGTATCTTATCAGTATGATGTTGACTGAATTATAATTTTTGAAGTGTCATGTTGAGTGACTAGAGAAAACACTAATTCATGGTTTAATTTATAGCATCAGTTAATTTATACTATTGTACCTTATCTTTGCGCATCAAAAAAATAAGATCTTCTGCAGAGATTACTCTAGCACCTCTCATCTGAGACACTTCAGAGGCTTGTTGCAACTGTGGAAAAAAAAAAAAACAAGATTAGAACTGATATGGCAATGTGATATTTTGTAGAACTATACTTATTTAAAGTAGCCTTAGCAGTATAGGGGAAAAAACCCTCACAATGCAAATGTAGACATATCAACTAAATTTAGAATTTAAGATAATTTTAAATACACATTTTTCCCTCACCAATTTGTTTAAGATTTTCCTTTTGCTGAATTTATCTTGACAATTGCTATTCCAATCAATCTTTTTTAAATCAACCTGGAATATAAAGATGGTTAGGCCTGACAAACATCTGGAGAATTTCAGAAAATTCCAGTGCTATAGGCTAGGTTGAAAATAAGGCAAACCAACCTAATACAGTAGGTCCTGTTGCTGAGAAACGGACCCATGAAGTCATTAGGAGTTGAATTCAACTTGATGTATTACTTTTTATTGTAAAAACACTTTATATATTATATGAGGATAATGTTCTATTTTTCATATTAAAGGCTCAAACCCAAATGTAACATGATGCTATCTATCTATATAAAAATGGCTCTGTGTATGTGTGTGTGTTCCAGCATAACTCTGGAACACCTGGGCTGCTGAAATGACAAGGAATGAATTATATCTATAGTGTCAAATCACAGTACTTTTGACAGTGATAATGTGCATTTTGGATTCAAGTTCTGTTAAGATACAGCCTGTTGTGCCTTAAAATAGCTTCTACTGTACAGCACAATGGAGTTGCCATGGTAACAGCTTCACAGTACTCCACAAGGGGGCTCTCTCTGGTAAGGGGAATTGGTTCTTTAAAAAACACCCTAGGCCCTCAGCTTCAAGCAGAGGGCAAATTGTTGGGGGAGGTGCCTGCTAATGCAGATAAATACCTGGGCAATGCTAGGTTATCAGCTATCTATAAATGCAATTCCGTTTATATACTTCCATTCCAGGCTAACTCTCCTAATACTCATCCTTTTAAAACTTGTTGCATTGCCTGAACGTTAGGATAGGGATAGCTGCTCGTATGCATTACTATACTGGATCCTTGGGTTTTTTTCTCAAATCCTTTTTCAGTAAGCCAAAAACCTGCTGGAACAGTGTGTGTGTGTGTGTGTGTGTGTGTGTGTGTGTGTGTGTGTGTTTTATATATATCTATAGATATAATATCCTTCTGAAGTTTAGTATGTATTTATTCTTCTGAACACAAACTTTTCAGTACCATACTCATTCCAACAATGCATCAATGACATAGATTAAATTAGATCACTAAAAGAAATCAGAAAAGCTATATTGACTCTGAGATGAAAACTTGCAAAGTACTCTACAATTCCAACTACTGGTTCTGTTTAAAATCTTGCACCAATGTACACTGGATGATGATGATGATGATGACAATAGCAACAGCAACTATATGTATGACGTGCCAGTTTCTAATTTGTTTCTATCTCACAGGACCTAATATGATGCCTGCCTATTATATTCTTTTTCTTGTTGGTTATTTTAGTTTTCTTCTTTGGTTAGCAAGGATAGGTGATATGACAAGCATCGAACAACTTAGCCATGGCTGATGTTGATCATTAGTGGGAAAAAGTCAACTGTTATAAACTAGCAATTCTTCACCATAATCCTTCCATGGTAAGAATGCTCTAGCTCTTCTTATTCAGTTGTCTTTCAATAGAAGATGACTTCATTACAGATTTTAATGTTCCATTTCAAATGTCTATGAACAGATTAGAGAACGGTCAATGGAAGGCGTAAGTGTTAGCCCTGGTTTATACTAAAATATTATATTAACCTACTATGATCGAAGGAGACAAAACTAATAGAGCCATCATGGATATTGATCCTTGGTACCCAGAATAAGAATTGGAATTTCCTTGGGATTCAAGAACTGGCGTTTATAAGAGCTATGCAAAACAGTAAGCACTGAAAAATGTTACATACATTCTGCTGCTAAACTAAGGTTCTGCAGCTCTTTATATTTTACTTCTAAGTTTCCTAACACATGAGTTTTGTGGTAATTTCTACAGTGACATTTATTTTCCTAGTTCTTCCATCTTTTTCCTGTTTACTTAAATGAACTTTGCCTGGTCATGAAGAAGCCCTTATTGACATTTACTCTAGCAAGCAACTGTATACTTTTTTGTCTGTATTCTTAGAAATAGGTCATAATGATATCACTGGACTTTTTAACATTCTATCAAAATAAAATTATTTGCAGAAGTACAGAAAATTAACTTTTTAAAGAAGTAATTAATGCTCAAAACTACGGTGTATATAGAACAATATATAAACATATACTTCATAGAAGCCCTGGAGTGTGATAGATGCAAGCCAAAAAATTAGATACTAACTAGAAAAATGTCTTATATTGTTTTTTCATTTGAAATATAAGATAATAAAGCCTACATTTATAAATACATACACCTGAGAACAGATGGAAGAAATTTTAACTTTCATATGCCATATTAGCAATAGTTTTACTCTGTAATATTGGCTGAAGAAGGATATTATTAATGTGAGTTTTAATGTTGCTGTTGCTATAATTTGAAATAGGACTATTCAGCAGTTAAAACAGTAGCTGTTTCTAATATGTAGGGGGGAGGTAGTTTTTACTTTTGGCAAGTGTTCAGCAGGAAAAAGATTTCGTCAATAAATCATAATACCGGACTGCATTTCCCCCCCACTCTAATCACATGCACACAAAATGTGAACTGTATCTGGTAGGCACAACACAAAACATACTGCTTTAAAAAGCTTTACGTTTTTTCTTTGAAATGCTCAAGAGGGCTTTTGCAGCTACAAAGACGGGAGAATTTTCAGGAATTCAGAAGTCACAGTAACATAATCTGACTTAAAACTAAACTGGAAAATATAAGAATGTGAAAAATGATAGTTCTATTTTTTTGGCAGAGGAAAGTAGCTTCTTATTCTGATTAGTTTAAGGAGACACAAGGTACTTATGTTTCCAGCATAAAATACAGAAAAGCTGGGTAACATTATAATACAAAGAACGGGATGAATACCTCATTGGTGTAATTTGGATGAACTCAGTGGATTTATATCCAAGCATGCATTTACTCAATATATTTAATAACTGCTTAGAAAATTGATGTTAGTGTGCTGTTAATACAATACATCTTTTTCAAATTTTGTATGGACCTAGAGAATTCTTTTGAATAAAACAGCTAATGATTTATGTCAGCCTCTGTTGAATAGAAGGCAAAAAAAAAAATATATATATTAACACAACAGAGCCATAACCCAGTAGTAACCAAAGTTAACAGTTGACCACTACTTCAAGATAACATGATTATATCCAAGTGTACTAACCAATTCCATTAAAATAAATAAATAGAAACCAGCAGTTTAAATGATCTGAAGACACTTAAGATACTCCTAGATATGAAATAGAAACAAAATGCACTACAATCAGCATAATATCTACCTGATGAAAATGACTTGATGATCAGTGATGGGTTGCTACCGGTTCGCCCCAGATTGGGTGAACTGGTAGCAGCAGCGGCGGGAGGCTCCGCCCACCCGCCCGGAAGTCTTTGCGCATGCGCAGAAGCGTCACATGCACGCCCACGAGCAAACCGGTAGTGGCCGAAATTGAAATTGGTTTCCCCAGTACTGCCCCCATGGTCTATTGGTGTGTAGCCAATCTGGTGCTGCCGAGATGTTTTGGGAAGCGCTGAGGTGTTTAGGCTGGTGAAATTCCATTCTTAGGGTAAACAGCCTTGAAGATGCCAGGCACGAACCGGATTCCAAAATGCTCTGTTCTTCCTCAACTGTCAATCCCCACTCCCAATTTCCCACCATAGAGGTATACAACTTTATTGCCTATTTGTTCCCCCCTCCCTTACCCAGTTTATTGATTGCAGGATACGAGCGAGGCACCAAGCTAAAGGTGATGGACCTGACAGCATGTTAAAGTCTAAATATCTTAAAGTTGCTGAGGATTAAGAAACACTGCTTTAGAGTGTAACTCAAAGTTATATGCATATTAGTCTGTACATCACTAAACAAAAATGTAGCTCAATGAAAGAACTCCAACTGAAAACAAACTATGGTATTAGGAAATGGAACAGATTTAACCGCTTTCTGGATGAAAATAATATTTTCTAATTACAATATAGTCCAAGATAGTTTTAAAAAATAAGGAAACAAACTACCTGATTATGTCTTTATTAGGTTTGCTTAGAACATAAAAATAAATCCATTATGTCTAAATTTTGAAATGTTTGTCAAAATGAATAAAATTATGAACAACACCTGGACTATATCATTTTGACCAAGAGCTCTTTTTTTTTCTATTTTATACGTAAGAAAAAACACAAGCCATCCTAAAACTTCAAAGACATGATTGGAGCGTAACATTTCAGGCTCTAATCGCAATCATTATACATTATTTTTGAGTTCAATCCAATGATATTTATTTATTTATTGGTTTGATTTATATGCCGCCCTTCTCCGGAGACTCAGGGCGGCTTACAATGCGTTAACCAATAGCCCTCATACTTTTGTATATACCTGCTTAGTAGGGCCCCCCAAGCGGTGTTCTTTTTTATGCAAAGTCACCTTATTGCCCCCACAATCCGAGTCCTCATTTTACCTACCTCGGAAGGATGGAAGGCTGAGTCAACCTTGAGCCTGGTGAGATTTGAACTTGCAGTAATTGCAGGCAGCTGGCAGCTAAGTGCTACTTAACAGCACTTTAGTCCGCTGCACCACCAAGGCTCCATAATCCAATAACACCAATGGCAAAATAGATTCTCCTTCCAGCACTCCAAAATTGATCCAGAGTAAGGATATGTAAAAAATTTTAATGTTATATCAGCAGTTTGTATTGTTCAAAGCAGTTTTACTATTTACTATTTAGCCTTTCTGAGCAAAAAAAAAACATTATTATGGTTTAGAATCTTCTGACTGATACTGTTGGATTGTTGATTTGTGGCATGTGATTGGGTGGCCTGTTTATAGTCTTCATCCAGACTAGGAAGTCCAAACAGCCAGTGATG